CGCAGGAAACGCAAGCAGCTCTCTGCCAGGGGCCAGGGACTGGAGGAGCAGGAAGGGGACAGTGAGTCAGAGCCCCTTGAACATTCCCGGGGGCGGAAAAGGAAGAAATGAGGGATGGGGAGACTTAAGGGGAGAGCCAGAGCTGGAGCAGGCCTTCTGGTGCTGCCAGGCAGCAGGATGGGTTGTCTGGAGGGAGCTGGGAAGCAGCAGGCACTTCTCTATTAATCCAGCCTTCCCTTTGGCCTGTCCTCGTTTTAATTTTTCTGCAATTTCCTCAAGTATTTGGTCGTCCATTGAGCGGAGATGACTTACTGCTTCCTGCAAAATCCACAAAGCTCTTCACGAGTCTGTCCTGCCAGGAGGGGAAGGTGGGGAGGGCGAGGGGAGGGCCCAGCCAAGCCTGGCTGGGCAGGGGAGCACCAAGCCTACTCCAGCTCGGGCACCGTCGGCTTCCTGGGAATGAGCCGCTTCCTCCCCTCCGCGAGCAGCCGGAGCGCGGTGGGACTGCGTGCTGCCGGTGCAGGGAGCCCAGCAGGGAGGGATCATGTTGCTCCACGGAAGGACTGGGTGCCATCAGGCCAATGGGCTGCTCAGGCTTGTATGTATATATTTATATGGTGTTAATGCTGGGCCCCGCTGCCGGGGCTGCGTGGGGCGAGCGAGCGCTTACGTGTACGGCCAGCCGGCTTTCACCAGCATCCCAACGCCACTGCTCTGAGGTGCTCCTGCTTCCCCCTCTCCCTGGGGAGCAATCCCTGGAGGTCTCGCTCTGAGGAGGGCTCTGAGCTCAGCTTCTCACCTGTACCCACCAGGAGGAGGCTCCCTGCTCACCTGGAGACACCCGCAGCCACGCAGCCCTTTGGATGCCCCGAGTGCCAGCAGCAAACTGGAGAGTTGGGGGTGTCTGCCCAGCCCAGAGGGAGCTCTGGGGCCAGGGGAGCAGCAGAAACATGTGCTGTGTAACTTTTTAAATTAATTTTCTAGTTGAAAGTGGCTTGTTTCTAGCTGTGATCTTGTACAAAGAACACCTGTAAGATACCCTTGTCTTGCTTTGGCACATGTACAGTTTATATAAAATCGTGTTTGCTTTATATTTTCCCCCCTCTTTAAAACTCATTTTCCTACCAGTAGCAGGAGTTACAGCAGGGGACTTGTTGGGGAGGGGGGTCCCAGTCCCTCTCAGCCACGCTCTCACCATGTTTTGTAGTAACACCCTCCCTTGTGCTCCCCTGGTCAGCCCGATCCTGTGCCACGGCCCAGCACTGGCTCCTGTCACCCCAGATGCTGACTTTTCCCTAAGGAACCTCTTCTCATCCCCTCTCCATCATGCCAGGTTTGGATCATACAATCAGGGCTTGAACTTTTTATCCCAGAAGTGTTTGATTTGGAACAAATGGGCCACGGGGCTGCTCGGTGCTGGTTTTGTCTCAGAAAAGCAAAAGCAGCTGTTGCAGCTCTTGGGAATTGAGAAGAAAAGAATCATCGATTACAAACTGCAGCCAAGAATTGCAGCCTAGTTTTGTGAACTTTTTAGGGTTGGTTTTTTTTTTTTTTTAACAGGTATTTGTTTCAGTTCTGGGCTGTCAATGGCTGCAGATGAGGCAGGTTTCCAGCCCCTTCCCTCTCCCCAGCCTCACTCCCTGCCCCACGGAATAGCACTGACATTTGTATCTCGCACGTCCCTTCAGAGGCTGTTTTGTCCTGTTTCCTAGAGAACATTTCCTGCAGGTCCTACACGGTGGAACCTTTGGAACTGTACGTTTTATAAAAAAATCAGTGTCATTTGGGGGGGAGGGGGTTTCTGCCAAGGGCTGTACTTGTAATAAATTGGAAACTTAAGAATAAACATTATGTACTTGTGTTTGTAAACATGGCTCGTGTGAGTCCTTTGCGGGTCCTGGTATTGGTGTGGGACTGTCTGGGATGTCTCACCTCTGCCTTCCTAGAGCCTCCATCAGACATTTCTGGAGGGAGAAGGAGCTGTGGAGCAAGGGAAGAGCAGGTCAGCTTCCAACACTGTGCTGGTGTGACCTTGTGTTGTCCCCCTCCCCAGGGACCAGGGACAGGGCTGTGCTCTGCCAGCTCCTGGACAGGACAAGTCCTGATGGGTTTGAGGACTTGAAGGCTTCTGGTGATGGAGAGATGCTGTTTTCCCTGGAGAAGCCTCATCCCCCTGTCCACAGGAGCTGGTTTGGCTTTGCTGGCCGTGCAACAGGACCTGGGTGAAGCTGAGTGTGACTCCAGCTGGGACGTTTCCAGGCCTCAACACGGAGATCTCTCACCAGCATCTGCTCCGAGACCTTTTGGAGACTTGCTTTTAATAGCAGCCCCTCCACGGCATCGGTGTCCTGTGTGGGGCTATAAATAGCTGTCCCCACACCTGGCAGGGCAGCGGGGGCTGGGGACAGTCCCTGGCCCCGCTACTGCCCCGTCCCAGGGGCTGCCTGTGACAAACCCCTGGGATTGCTGGAGTTCCCACAGGGCCTCGGGAAGAGGAGGCCTGAGCTTGGCCCCCTGGGCTTCCTCTTGGCTTAATTCTTAATTAATAGTCTGGGTAATGGGGTTTTTAGCACATTTCCAGAGCACGGCAGCCTGCCTTCTGCTACTCCAACCTGGAGGGAGTGTCTGTCCGAGTGAGGGGGATAACCCCCACGGCTCAGCCAGGGCTGGGGCACGGGGTTCCACCTCTTCATGCTGAGCTGGACCAGGACTGGGGGTATCCCAAGCCCATTCCCACCCAGCAGCAGCCCCAACTCAGCCTCTGTAGCCATCCCATCCCACTCTCCACAACCATCCCGTGCCAACCTTTGCAGCCAGCCCAGCCCGGCCCAAGCCGGGGGCTGCTCCGCAGTACCGGGGCAGTGCTGAGCCCCACCTGCCCCTCGCAGAGAGGATTCACTCCAGCCGGGGTTTTGGTGCCCTTGGGGCTGCCCTGAGGAGGATGCAGGGATGAGTTTGGGGTGGGGCACAGGGAGGGAGGCTGAGCCTCCCCAGCACGGCGCTGAAAGCGGCTGTGACAAGGAGCCAGCGGCGTCCCCAGGACAGAGCCCTTCCCCGGGGCAGGCTCGGTGGCGCTGTATCCTGGCCGTGCCCAGCTTTTGGGACTGGCAGGCTCCGGTGGAGCCGGCGGGTCTGCCGGGGCCGATAGCGGGTGGCGGTGGGCGCCGGCGGCCCCAGTGGTGCCGATAGCGGGGGCCCGCCGGGCCGGGCTGTCTGGGCAAACGCTCCGGAGGCAGCGGCTCCTTGGCAAGCGCCGGGTGCTCAAGGGCAGCCTGTCCCAGCGGTGCCGCCGGGCCGTGTGCCCGGTGTGTGAGCCAAAGGTGCGCCGAGCTGGCTCCGGCCTCAGCACCGGGGTGGGGGGACAGTGGCACACGGGCTGAATCCCAGCACGGGCCGTGGCCCTGTGCCCCCTCCCCGGGCAGCCCCCGCCCAGCGCCGTGCCCGGCTCCTCGGCTGGACTTTGGAGCCTGTCCCGCAGCCAATATTGACTCTCCTGCCCCAGGTCACGGCCCTTCTCTCTGCCCAAACAAACCCCCCGTGGCACTCGGGGGAGCCCCCCAGTCCCTGCCCTGGCACTATCATCACTGCTAGCCCCAGGGAAGGGGTTGGGTGCCCTCCAGCACAGCCGGGGGCACCCAAAACAGGTGTGACAAAACAGATGTCCCCCCACCGACACCACATGGGCACTGGGGGCTCCTTCACATCTCAGCCTCCGGGGGAGGCAAAGGCTTTGCTCAGCTCAGCTCAGCTTCTCCCACCATCCTGGCACCCTGGGGTAGGTGAGGGGGAAGATTAAAGGCACTTTGTTTGCCACATCAGTCCTGGCATCGTGGCAGCTCAAAGTCCTGGGTGAGGGGCCCCAAATCCAGCCCCTGCCCCGACTCTGGCTCCAGGGTGGTTCTTGCCCCTCTCCTCCAGCTGCAGCCTGGCAGTCTGAGCCCCAGGGGCTTCACTGAGGCAGGGGGCAAGGGCTGTCAGGGTGGGCAGTGGGCACCATTGTGAGCGCTGAAAGGAGGGTCCCTCCAAGTGTTGTTGCTCCCTGGGTGAGGGACAGGGGTCGCACAGACCCTCCCTGGGGCCGGGCGCTGCTCAGCCTGCACGCTGGCTGATTAACAGCTAATTAGATGATGGACAAGTCTGAGCATCACCAGAGCCACCTGTGTCCCTGCTACAGCCCCTGGTGCCACAGGTGCCCCAGTGCCTGAGCCCCTGCTCACCATGGGTCACAGCCCACCTTCACCTCTCCCCCGGGCACTGGGACCCCCCAGCACATCCCTGGGGCCAGCCAAGCAAAAGAACCCCACCAAACCCCTGCAGAGACGAGCTCCCCTCCCTGCCCCAGCACCCGGGGATGTCTCAGGGCAAGGTGGGCAGTTCCCCACCCCGAAGCCCCCCGAGCCACTCTGCTGCCTGCCCTGTGCCCCGCCAGCCCCAGCTCCCCCCCGCCAGCCCCGGCAGCACCAGCTGAGGCTTGAATTTCCCTCCGGACAATGGGGAAGGCGAGCTGGGATTGTAACCAGAGCGGAGGATAAATAAAGCTGCCCAGAAGTTTCCATTACCCGCACCTCGGGCTTCTGCGGGGGACATCAAAGCTGAGCCCTCTCTGCCCCAAGGTCCCGTGCCCCCAGCCCATCACCCTGGGCCCTGCCCTGCCCCCTCGCAGCCCCTCAGCCTGGCACAGAGGCCCCGGCAGCCGATGGCACCGACACAAATCACCTTCAGAGCGCGGAGTGGAAAAGATGATTCGTAAGTGTGACAGCACAGGAAAACCCTCCTCCTCCTCCTCCTCCTCCTCCTCGCCGGGAGGCAGAACCGGCCCCAGGGAAGCCACGGGGGGAGCTGGATGGAGGGACCCCCAGTACCACACTCCTGCCACAGCCAGTGGCACCCCAGCACAGCCCAGCACGGCTTGGCCTGGCACGAGAGCCCTGCCGAGCTGGGAGGGTCCCATGGGGCAGCTCTTGACCCCCTCAAATCCCTGCAAACAGCACCAGGCTCGATTCAAATAACACATCCAGGGTTTATTGTTTTTTCCATTCCTCGCAGCTAATGATTAAAAAAAAAAAAAAAAGTCTAAAATAAATTACAGAATTAAATAAACACGGATGGATTATTCCTCTCCCTGCCCCGTCCCCGCCGCCCCCCAAAGAAAGCGTTAGAAGAGTCACTGTATTTGGCAACAGCAACAACAACAAAACAACCTCTAGGAAAAAGCAGCTACTCGTCAGTGAGTGGTGCTGGGGGGTCCGCGGCCTCGCCCACCCCCAAACCGTGTCCCCCGCCACCGCGCAGCCCCTGCCCTCGCCCCTTACCCGTGAGGCCGCTTCCCGGCGCTGGTGGGGGGCGAGGGCAGCCCCCTTCTCTAGACGTGCGTCGGGTTGTCCAGGTACGGGTCCGTCTTGGTCATGTGCAGCATGACCGTGGGGGCCTTGTAGTGGCAGTGCCCCCCGCCACAGCTGACCCCGCTGCAGGGCTTGCCCCGCGTCCTCACGCCCAGCCGCCTGTTGCACAGGCTCTGCCAGGTCTGCAGCGTTTTGGAGCTCCACACCCACACCCCGCTGGTGATGCCCACCACCAGCGACATGAAAATCTTTAGCATGAACACAGCCACGGTGGGCACCGAGGCCTCGAGGGAGCAGTTGGCGGCGCGGCGGCCGGGCAGGCGCAGGCAGCCGCGCTCCAGCGCCCGCAGCGTCCAGTAATCCACGTTCAGCCGCTCGTAGAAGTAGCAGACGATGACGCAGGTGGCCGGGACGGTGTAGAGGATGGAGAAGACCCCGATCTTCACCATCAGCTTCTCCAGCTTCTCCGTGTTGGTGCCGCCCGTCTTCATGATCTTGCGGATGTGGAAGAGGGCGACGAAGCCGGTGAGGATGAAGGAGGTGCCGATGACCAGGTAGCAGGAGAGGGGGATGAGGACGAAGCCGGTCAGGGCGCTGACGTCCATGCTCCCCACATAGCACAGCCCCGTGAGCTCGTCCCCCGCCACCTTCCGCATGGTGAGAATGACGATGGTCTTCATGGCCGGGATGCCCCAGGCGGCCATGTGGAAGTAGCTGCTGTGGGCCTCGATGGCCTCGTGTCCCCACTTCTTGCCAGCAGCCAGGAACCAGGTGAGGGTAAGGATGACCCACCAGAGCGAGCTGGCCATGCCAAAGTAGTAGAGGATGAGGAAGACGATGGTGCAGCCCGTGCTCTCCAGCCCCTCCTGGATGATGTAGAGCTCGCCGTTCTCCCGGTCGCAGGCGATGTTCTCAGCCCCTGCCACGGAGCGGATGATGAAGGCCACGGAGTAGACGTTGTAGCACATGGAGAGGAAGATGATGGGCCTCTCGGGGTACTGGAAGCGGTGGGGGTCGAGCAGGAAGGTGAGGACGGTGAAGGCGGTGGACACGAAGCAGAGGGTGGACCAGACGGCCATCCAGATGAAGGCAAAGTCCTTGTCCTCCCGGGACCAGTACACGTCCACCCCGGGGGAGCACCTGGGCGCGCACGAGAGGCTCTTCTCCACGTACTGGAACTTCTCGGGGTTGTCGCAGGCCCCCAGCCCGTTGGGACCCCGGCCCTCGGCAGCGGTGCCCGGTGGCCATGGCCGGGGGGCCACGGGCAGCATCCCCTGCCCCTTGTGCGGCTCGGCGGCCGAGGCGTTCTCGGGGGCCTCCATGCACAGGGCGTTGGGGTCGTTCTTGGTGGGCAGCCTGCTGCAGTCGAGCGACTCGGGCCAGCCGAAGTTGAACTGCTCCATGATGGGGACGCACTTGTGGCGGGCCTGCTCGCACATGGGGCGGCAGGCGGGGATGCTGGCGCTCACCTGGTCGGTGCACATGGGCGCGTAGAGGGAGCAGAGGAAGAAGCGCAGGTGGACGTGGCAGCCGTACTCCACCAGCGGGGCGAACTCGTGCAGCTTCAGGGCGGCCTCGCGCTGGCTCTCGTGCCCCAGCAGGTTGGGCATGCGGGTCAGGTTGTACCCGATCCCGCGGCACATCGGGATGTCCACGGGCTGGCACCGCGCCGCCCGCCCCCGCGGGCCCTCCAGCCCCGCCAGCTCCAAGCCGCGACCCCCCACCCCGAAATGCCACAGCACCCACAGGGCCACCCGCAGCCGCGCCGCCGCCATCGCCCGCCCGCCCGCCCGCACCGGCCCCGCGCCTGCTACAGCTCCGCCATCGCCCGGCCACGCCGCCCCCGCCGCCACGGGGCCGATCGCTGCGGTGCTGGAGGCGCCGCGCCGGGGCAGCCCCCGGCCCCGGCCCCGGCCCGCGCCATGCGGCGGCGGCCCCCGCCGAGCGCCCTGCGCCGCCCCGCGCCCGCCGACACCGGCAGCGCCCGCCGAGCGCCCCCGCCCCGCCCTGCCCCGCCCCGCCGGGCGGGTCCGAGGACGGGCGGGACGGGGAGGGGCGGGGGGCGGGACCCGCGAGGGAAACGGCCCCGCCGGGAGCGGGGACTGGGATACACACACACACACACACAGGGACACGTGTGCGCACACACGGGAACATGTACTCACACATGAACACACGCATGGGCACGTGTGTGCACACACGGACACGTGCACACACACGTGGACACGTGTACGCACACACATGGACGCGTACGCACATGCACACAGTAACACACACGGACACACACGCACATGTGTACAGACACACATATGTACGTGTGCACGTGCGCATGCTGACACACATGCAGTGACGTGCATGTGCACACATGTGCACACATATGTACATATGCACGTGTGCACATTAGCGCACACACACACATGCAGGCATGTGCACACACACACGTATACACACATGGACACGCTGACATGGATATACCCCGTGTGTACACACACGTACATACACACCAGTACACACACACACACGTGTACACATGGGCATAGACACGTGTACATACACACCAGTACACACACACACGTCCATATGCACAAAACCAGTAACACATTCTGGGAATGTCACAGAGCAACCAGGGCCAGTCCGGGATCAGCGGCTCCCAGGAGTGGGAGGCTGCTGGTGGCACCTTGTGACAGTGGCTGGGCAGCACAGGCTGTCTGTCCCCAGGGGTGCTGCCACCCCCAGAGTGGTTTTTTTTACGCCTCCATCTCCCCATGCCTTGGCCTTGGATGTGTCACCCAGTGAGTGGGACAGGAGATTGTGGGAGCTGGCAGCCCCAGCTCGGCCACGCTGACTTGTGTCACTGCCCGGGAAGTGCCCCGGCCTTGCAGTGGCATTGCTGCCCGCTGCCCACCCTGGGTGACACCAAGGGGCGCGGCTCCCATTTGGGAGCAGCTCATCCACTCCAGGGCCGGTTCCAGCAGCGTCCCCGGGCTGTCCTGCAGGACACCCGTCACCCAGTGCCTGGCTGGCGCCTGGGGGTCCGGGCATCCCGCCATTCCCAGGCATTCCCACAGCCCTGCGATTTCTTTAGTAACAACATAACAACCTGTCAGCACGGCCCCTAATCGCTGACACCCGTCCTACAGGATCCAAACATCCCGGTCTGGAGCTATAGGGAAATTCCATTGGAGCTGCTTATCGGCAGCGTAACGGAGGGGGAGATAAGGAGTCCGCCCTGGAATTTCCCTCTAGCACTGGGCGTCTGCACACCCGGCTCCGGGGCCCTGGGAAAAGGGGTTTTGGGAGATATTTGGGGTTATTTGGGGTGCTGGGTGGGATTTGTCATCTTGGCCACCAGCTCTGGGGTCTCAGAAATCACTGTCCCGTGTGCCCGGTGACATGGGGCAGCTTCAGGGGCTTCACAGGTGGGTTAAGGTCACGTGCACTAAGGAGTGGCTGGTTGGGGATATTTTGTGCTGTGGTGCAGCTCTGGGGACAGATTGTCGCCCTCGCTGAGCTGGCAGCAAAGTGATAGGGATGGAGGTGGCACCTGCGGGGTCCTGGGACCTTTCCCTAGGACTCTCATCCCACCCAGCCCCAGCCCCAGAGTGTGTGTCCTGAGTGGGATGAGGGACCCAAGGGTGTTCCTACCACTGAGCAGTGGCACCCCAAAGCCCAGCTCCGGCCACTGAGGCTTCCCTTTAGGGACCTGTTTGCTAAGGAAACCTGGGAAGCGTCACCTGGAAGACCCAAAACATCTCTGAACGCAGCCCTGGTTGCCCTGTGATGGTCCCAGGCAGGGGCTGGATGAGACCCTGGGGTCCCAGCCCCACCTTCCTGGCTCACCCCCATGAGTTCCCTCCTGCCTCCCAACTTGGACTGTGAAGGGTTAATGGAGGGGGGGGGTGCACAAACAAATGTCTTTTAATTTAATTTTGCCTTAATATGTAAAACTGTTGCTCTTGGCTCCTGTTACTGCAGCCCAGCCAAGAGCAACACGGGGATTTTCAGAGTCAAGGGGCTCCTTGTAGAGGAGCGGCCGCCCCTCACCTCTGCCCTACACCTTGGGATGCTCCTCCTTCACCCCACACCCTCCTCAGGTGCTCCATGAGGTGCCCAAGCCCTGCCCGAGCCTCAAGGATCTGCAGTGGGGACAGCAGAGGATCCTTCCCGGAGCTTTATCCCACTCCAGCTGTGGACAGGGGAGCACTGAGGGGGTACCACCAACACCCCAAGCCTTGCTCCACTGCCTGAGCCTGATGGGGAGCGACCTCTCCCCCCTTCCCGCACCCCTGGGGTGTGCGGGGGCGGCGGGGAGGGGACAGGGCAGGGGTGGGGACATCCCGGCCATGCACAGGAGCCGAGATCTGCAGCAGGTCTGGGAGCCCCGCAGTGAAAACAAGAACCCCAGGTAGAGCAACAGAGAGATTTACGGCCTTGGAAGTGGCCCTGGGCTGTGCATCCAAGATCAATAGCGGGAAGAAAGGGCTCTCAGAGCTGCACAGGAATCCTGCCCGGGAAGCGGCCAGGCCGGCGAGCGGGACTGATCACCAGAGCCCGGGAGCCTGTGGTTCCTGGCACAGCTTTGCCCCATTTCCTTTCTTCCCGTCAACAGCGCCTGAAACCTGTGCGAGAGCCTCGCCGAGGGGAGGGGAAAGGGGAGAAAAATCCCCCCCTGCCCCCCTCGGGGTACGGAGGGGCTGCAGCAGCGCCCAGACATAGCGGGTCCTCCTGCGGGGAAGGGTTTGGGGCACTAGAGATCTAAACAGCCCTGGTGGGAGGCAGGGAGGGGGTGATGGAGGAGGGGAGGGGGTGATGGAGGTGGGAAGGGTGATGAGGGGGTGATGCAGCAGGGGAGGAGGAGGTGTTAGAGGGGTGTTAGAGCAGGTGATGAAGCAGAGAAAGGAATGATGGAGCAGAAGAGGGGGAAATGGAACTGAGGAGACAGTGATGGAGCAGGGGGGGCAGTGATGGAACAAAGGGAGTGATGGAGGTGGGGAGGGACTGATAAAGCTGGGCAAGGGGTGATGGATCCAGGGAGGAGCTGATGGAGCTGGAGAGAAGGCAATGGAGGTGGGGAGGGGGCAACAGGGCAGAGGAGGAGGCAATAGGGCAGGGTAGGGGGTGAGGGGGCAATAGGGCAAGGGAGGGGACAATAGGGCAGGGGATGAGGAGATGGAATTGGGAGGAGCAATGGATGTGGGGAGGGGGTGATGGAACTGTGGCAGGACCATGGGCTCTGTCCTGCCCAGCCTTGGCCAGGGCAGCAGGACTTGCTGCAGGGTGGTGAGGGGCTCCATGCCATCACTGCCCTCGCCCCTGCCCTGCCGAGCCCCCAGACCCTCGGGGGTTCCCGTTCCTCCCAGTGCCACAGGCAGATGGGGCAAGGAAGGAAAAACCAGCTCCCAAGGACAGGCCATGCCCAGGGTGAGCTGGGGCTCTGGGCACCCCGTGCCCTCCCTGCCAGCCTGGAGGCGGGCGATGGCACAGCCCTGCAGGGATCCGGGCGGGATAATTTTCCCTTCCTGAAGAATTTCACAGGAATAGCTGCACGAAAGGCCAGCGGCTTCGATTTCAAAGGGATGCCAGTGCCGGGGCCGGATGGGCTGGCCAGCAGGTGGAGGGGTCCATCCTGGGAGCACCCACAGCGGGCACCCCACGGGGCTGTGGACTGGCACCCACCTTCCCATGGGGGCAGCTGAGTCCTGGCCCTGCCACCCTCTCCTTGAGGACACCAGGAGCACCACCAGGTGCCATCCCCAATCCTGAACCCTTCCTACCCCAGGCACAGTCCTGTGTGATGCCAATGCCCACACACTCGCATAGACCATGCCCACTGTGATCTCTGTGCCCCCAGCCATGCTCCTTGCCGTGGGCAGGTACAGCAGTGAGGGAAGATGGGGAATTTTGGGGACAATCTCCAAACAAGTGGGTGGAGCACAAGTTTTGTCCCCTGGTAATGCCGTGTGCCGAGGCCTCCGGTCACCTCCTGGCCTTTGGTTCCCAGTCCATGGTGCAAGGAAACTGTGGCCATGGCTCAGAGACAGGAGGTGGCACGTGTGACAGCCCAGGGATGCTCACTGCAGCCTGGTCACCCTGTCAGCCCATCACCCCACCCTGCTGCTGGCCAGCCCCCCTCCCTGGCCAAGGCCACAGGGTCCCTGGGCTGTGACAGGGATGACATGGGGCATGTCCCCACCCCCAGGAGCCCTGGGAGCCTGAGGGACCAGCACAGGGATGGGGACCATGTGGGACTCAGGGCAGGAGGGCAGTGGGTGCCCTGTGGGAGCCCCGGCTGAGAGAACGAGGAGCAAGAGGGGACAGTGCCCATCACCCTACACCAAACTCAGAGTATCTCGGGCTGGTGAGGGTGGTGGCAGCACAAGAGGCTGCTTTCAGCCCCTGGTGGCACTGGGACACATGCCCCCAGCAGTGGGAACCCTCTCCCATCCAAGGGGAACTTGGACTGGGCCATGTCCTGCCCTCAGCCACCTTGCTCACCCCTGCAGACCCTTCTGGGGGAGCAGGGGACCCAGGTGAGCCTCAGGAACAGGCGTTCACTCTGACCCCCACTGATGGCAGCAGCTGCAGATTGGAGCAGCTGCCTGATGGAGGCAGGGGAAGGGCGAGAGCTCCCTCCCAGCTGGCTCAGCCCCGGGAAGAGCCGCTCGTACAGCCCCGGGCAGGGCCGTGGGGCAACCGTGTGCCCTCCCGAGCTGATCTTCAGTGCCCACCCCCGTTCCTTGGCATCCTAAGAACGGGCAGAGGAGGCTCCGTGGTGCTCCCAGACAACACCCCGAGCCAGCACAGGAGCCCTCTCACCCCTAGTCCCTCTCGGCCCCCGACGCGCAGCTCCTTCCCCAGGACGCCCCATCCCGGGGCGGTGCCGGCCCCGGGTCCCGGGGCACAGACACACTCGGCCCTTTCTCCTGCTCGGCGCTGGCAGGAGGCTCCATCGCCGCACAAAGCGCCTCCTTGTTCGCCCGGCCCCGGGCTGGCTTGTGCGGAATGGCAGGGAATCGCCTCCGTTTCCTGCTGGAGTTTTATTACATTCACCGTATAAATAAATAAATACGATCCCGAGGAGAAGGGGAGAGCACGGGGC